GCCCCATCGCGGTCGTGGGGTGCCGCGGGGTTCTGCCCGGCGCTCGGCCCGGCGCTGGGAACTCGTCTCGCCGCCTCTTCTCAGCTGCTTTTGTATTTCGCTGTGAGACCCTCAGGCGGGCGCGATTCACAGGCACCCGGACCACGTGGGAGCGAGGGGGGAACCCCCTCCCCCTCCTCCGCCGCGGCTCCCCGCCCCCCGCTCCCCCCACCTCTCCTCCTCCTCCTCCTCCTCCTCCTCCTCCTCTTCCCCTTAAAGCGGCGATGATCCTTCCTGGAGGGAGAGGCGGCCCCACACTGGGTTGGTGACTTAGGGGCCGGGGAGAAGCCCGGGCGGGGCAGCGACTCCCGTGCGGGGGTGACGGAGAGGGTGGGGCAGGGCAGCACCGGCGCACCCGGGGACCCCGAGCGGGGAGGGCTGGGGCGATCGCCAAGCCTCCCCACCCCTCCGTTGGGCAGTATCTGGTCTACCGTAAACTTCAAACACAATCCCCCCACCCCCACCCCCCCATACACACCGCCCCTCCCGACATAAAGAGGCCAGAGCCCCGGCCCCGCGGGTCCCGATGTTCCCTCCCGAGAGATTCTCCAGGCCTTATGTCAATTCCCAGGAATGTCTGCGAGCTCCCGAGCTTGAGACTCCAGCCCCAGGAGGAACCGTCTGCAGCCAGCAACTTTGTACCGACACGTCCTGTCTCTCCCAGCCCCAGTCCCCCACCTCTCCGCTTACTACCCCGGATCAAGGCTTCTCAGCCCCAAGTTCTGCAGGTGCAGGTAAGAACGCCTAGGCCAGTCCCCTTTCATTCGCTGGTTCACTCGTTTGCCAGGCGGCGGTGTCCACGGTTCTGGTCTGGAGAGTTGAAGTCTCCAGATCTCTCTTACATTCAAGTGACGTTCACGTTGTGCAGTGTATCTTCGGGTCAGACCTGGTGCTGGGGAAGAGAGGTGTCAGGGACAGCTCTCTAAAGAAGCGGTGCTGTTTAGCTTTGCAGAGCTAAAGGCACCGAGAAGGGTTAGGGTTTGCTCAGCTGCCTACAGTTAGCAAGTAGAGAAGCGGAAAGGTAAACCCAAGTCACCTGGGTGCATTCCTCGTGAATCTTCCCTCCTTCAAGAAAGTTCATTTATTATTATTTATTATTATTATCATTATTATCAGTATTACTACTACTAGTAGTATTACCTTAAAAAAATCACTGTCATTTGATTCCCCATCAGTAATTTTCACTTAAACAAAAGGAAACAGGGAAACAAACAACCCCATTTGACTTACTGGTTTAATGGCTGAAAGGAAAAAGGGAGGGGGACAAAGAAAACTCCCCCATCACTTCCAGCCATCCTTGGGTTCAGTCCAGCAGGATGTCTCTTGGAAGCAAATGGCCCTCTGCCTTCCATCTTTGTCCCACGTTGCAGCCCAGACCTAACCTGGACATCCTCAGGTTCCATACAAGAATGCGGGTGTGGAGATAGAATTCTCCAGAAAGCCACGGTTAGAAATCTATTTTCTTACATGATTTTTTTCTCTCCCCTTCAGGCATACCTTCAAATTTTCAACTGTTAGAAGAGCTAGCACTGTGCATATTTTATTCTGCACAGAATGAATATTGTGGAGTTCTAAGGAAGACACTGTAACGTTTGTGACAGAGCACAGACATTTAAAACACAACACCAAAACCACATCTGGGCCTTGTGGCCCTGACTTTGTACACATAACTCCATATGTATCCACTCATTGCTATGGTAAATACTTATTGGCTGAGGTATAGGGTCTTTGTTCAGTCTTTCCAGAACCACATGGTAGCTATATCATGTCTCTTTGTAGCTCTTATCTGATGAAGGGATTACAATGGCTCCCATATGGATACATCAAAATATATTAATTCATTAAAAGGAATTATATTCCTGCTTCTTGCAAGCTTCCTCCCCCATTTTTCCTACAGTGTGGAGACTATGTCTTATCAAATTTTCATTTCTTTTGCTCTCTAACATAATATATTACATGAAATAAGAACTCTATAAATTGAATTTAATTTTTTTGTCTTTTGGTTTGACAACTTTTTTTTTAAGCAGTGCTTTCAGCTTGGGCAAACTATGAGCAAGATCTCCACCTTGTGGGCATCAATGGAATATCATTTAATTAGAGAAGTGTACTGGTGTGTGTGTGTGTGTGTGTGCGTGTGTGTGTGTGTGTGTGTGTGTGTGTGTGTGTGTGTGTCCGCCCATCCTGGGGCTTGAACTCATGGCCTGAGTACTGTCTCTTAGCTTTTTTTTGCTTAAAGCCACTTAGCCACTTGAGCCACAGCTAAACTTCAGTTTCCCACTCCCCACCCCCATCCAGTGGTTAATTGGAGCCAAGAGTCTCATGTACTTTCCTGTCCAGACTGGCCTGGAATGGTGATCCTTAGATCTTAGCCTCCTGAGTACCTAGGATTAAAGTGTGAGCTACCTTTTCATGTACATTTTTTTTTTTTTGGGTCCGGTCATGGGGCCTGAACTCTGGGCCTGGGTGCTGTCCCTCAGCTCTTCAGCTCAAGGCTAGCGCTCTACCACTTGAGCCACGGCGCCACTTCCGGTTTTTTCTTTTTGCTTATGTGGTGCTGATGAATCGAATCCAGGGCCTCTGGCATGCAAGGCAAGCGCTCTACCACTGAGCCACCTAACTGGACAATGAAGATAAACTCTGAGAATAATAATAACATAGCCTGGTGCTGTGGCTCACTCTTAAAATCCTGGATAATTAGGAGGCTAAGATCTAAGGATCATGGTTCAAAGCCTCAAAGCCAGCCTGAGCAGACAAGTTCATGAGACTCTTTTTTTTTTTTTTTTTTGGGTCTGGTCATGGTGCCTGAACTCTGGGTTTGGGCACTGTCCCTCAGCTTTTCAGCTCAAGGCTAGCGCTCTACCACTTGAGCCACAGTACCACTTTTGGCTTTTTTTCTTTTTGCTTATGTGGTGCTGAGGAATCGAACCCAGGGCCTCATGCATGCACGGCAAACACTCTACCACTGAGCCACCTTTCCAGCCCTTCATGAGACTCTTATGACCAGTTAATCAGCAAAAAGCCAGAACTGAAAGTTAGCTCAGCTGGTAGAGCACCTTGAGCAAAAAAGCTAAGGGATAGCACCCAGGCCCTGAGTTTATGCCTTAGAATTACACACACACACACGTACATACATACATACATATTCAGGTACACTCAACCTCCTACCCCCCAATACAAAAACTGGACATAGGCTAAACTATGTTGTAGAGGTTATAGAGGAAATTCAGAGTTGGTAGCTCTGTGTTTTTAGCTGTTAGCACAAGGTACACATAAATAACTTCTAGGGATCACTGGCTGAGAACCGTATTAGAGTCGCTTCTCCATTGTTTGGTAGTTGCTTAGGCAAAATACTTGGCACTTATTGGGAGTCCAAGAGCAATTTGCTAAACAACTCATTCGTATGTTAATAAGATAAAGCTCTACAAATACCATGATCAAGTTTTGTGTTTTGAGTACACTATTTCTACTAATATATACAAAATAAGAACTTAAAAGGGAATGCTCTTAAAATAGTTCTCTTAAAAGGGAAAAAAGGGTGAGGGCTTTGCATGATGCATGTGGGGAAAGCCCATGATTTTCAGCCTGGGAGGTCCAGCTTTAAACCCAGACACTCCAGATCCCAGGTAAGTGATGAAGAAACTGGCTAGGATCTTACATCTCAGAAGATAGATTGATTTGATCATTGCCTTGATCTTTGGTCTTAGCCACAGGAATGGGTACATCATGTATGAGAATGGGATGTTCTAACAGAAACAGCATGCGGAATGACAGAAGATGAAGATGCATGATGCACATGTACCAGCATGTAGGCCCACAGAGCAAACATACACCCTGCCGAGTGGAATGCAGTTTTAAAATGGTGTGTGATTATTTTAGTGTTTAGTAACAGCCTATTAGCTTTCCCTTTCCTTTACTGCCCTGCCTGAAGACATCCACTCCCTTGTCTACAATGCCAAGCCTCTTTGCCTGGCATAGCATAAATCACCGGTGTGATTTCCAGCCCTCTGGAAGTTGCTTGGGGGAACAGGCACTGCTTAGCTGCTCCTATTTGCACCTTTAGGACTTTCTTCATACTCCTCAGAGTTTTTCCCTGGGCCTAGACCTTCAATTCCATCAAACTTGCCCACAGTCCTGTATGAAAAATGATCTGGCTCAAGAACAGAGCCTCCTGGGGGGGAAAGATAGGAGATGGAGTGAGCCTTGGGAGCAGGGAAGGAGGCTTGACGTTGGAAGGTTTCCCACGTCTGGCATTTTCATTTTCTGGTTTCTTCCATGGGCTAGTTTTTTTTTTTTTTTTAACTTTCTATGAGTTTCAGTTTCTGAACTTGAGCAATGAGAATATAAATCCTCTCCTGCTCACAGGGTTGTTACATAGCTCGAGTGAAATATTAATAGTAACTATAACAACAGCATCAGCAAACACTTATTACATGCTCATTGTGGGCTTTGGGTAAGGCTGAACTTCTCATGTGCTTTTACCCCATTTAACCCACTCAATAAGTAGTAGTATTGTTCCCACGTTACAGATGGGAAAACCAAAGTAATTGTTTTGAAGTCACTAGATAACCTGGCTGAGCTCCCATTACCCTTTGTAAGTTATCAACTGCTGAGGCAATGTCAAGTTTGAAAATCATTGCATTTGATCAAAGTAGATGCAACACAGATTGAATTTTCCTCTGAAATGTTCTCTGTGGCTGCTACTAAATGAAATGGTGAAGAACATGAGCTCTTATATCAGATTATATTGGTTTAAGACCTAGCCCTGCCTTTTACCTATGCCTTGAGTGTCTTAATTTCTCTGTGCCTTGGTGTACTTGTCTGTGAAATGCAGCCATAATACTATTATTAGGACTGCCAGTGATAATTACATGGAATATCTAATGGCCAAGAATAACAGTGGCCCCTCATGCTTATATTCCTAGATACTCAGGAGGCTGAGATCTGGAAGATTGAGGTTTGAAGACAGCTTGGACAGATAAGTCCTGATAAACTCTGTCTCTAAAATGACCAGTAAAAAGCCAGGCTTTTTCCAGGCATGGTTCAAGTGTTAGAGTACCCAGTGAGCAAGCAGAGCAAGTGAGTCCAGTAAGCATATGACCATTATTCAAATCCCAGTACTGCCCAGTAAAGAATTATAGTCATGAATCTTATAGCTTATCATGATGATTAAATCTCTACATTTGAAGTGATTCAAAGGTCACCTGTATGTTCACTGTTAAAGGTTTTTCCTTTTGATTTCACTATTTCATTGACGAAATAGAAGTTTTTTCTCTTGCTGTTCCCTACCAAGCATCACTTTGGCTTGAGATATTAGTGGTATTCCAGCCTCATACATTTTCTTTATGCCTCAGCTGGCATCTTCCGTGGAAATTATGGGAGTTTCTTTTGCCATGGAGCTGGACCTGCTGTCTTCTACCATGTTCTTCAGTGCATTCCTTGTTAAAAGCCCAGAGCCTTCAGTCAGCCTCAGGCTACCAGCTTCTCACCTGCCACTATACAATCTTCTCCAATCCTGATTTTTCCAGAGCCTCTGAAGTTATAATCCTTTCCCAGAGATGGAGACCTCCAAGTACCTTTTCTTGATGCTTCTACAAAAAGGAAGGGTCAGGTGGATGCTTTCTGAATAAGAAACCCCAATAGTTTTCACACCCCTTCTGTCATGGGAAGACAGAAGCAAGTAGAGTGCCCTCAAAAGGCAGTCAATTTTCATGCACCTTGATCTTGGACTCTCCAGCCTCTAGAACTATGAGGAATTGTTATTTGTTCTTTAAGCCACCCAGGCTATGGTATTCTGTTGCAACAGATACTCCCTATTACCCATTTTCTCTAAGGTACCTTGTAATTTTTGTTGTGTTTTTTTTTCTGGTTGAATGCCGTTTTCCTTTTTTGATATTGCTATTTGGCCATGTGATCTGGATCTACCAAGAACTGTTTAACTGATCTCATCCTCATATATGTCATTTTTTATGATAGCTACATTTAATAGTTCCCTCTTCCACAGAGGATATGTCCCAAGATCTCTACTGCATCCATGAAACCATGGATGGAACTGAACCTTGTCTATACTGTGTTTTCATAGACACATACACACATGCACACACACACACACACAATGCTTTCCTGTGTGTTTTGCAGTACTGACACATAGTTCCAGGGCTAATCTGCTCTTCCATGTTTTTCATAGACACATACACACATGCACACACACACACACACACACACACACACACAATGCTTTCCT